TAATCATTTGCGAATTGAGCTCTCGTAATTCCATTAATCAGAAAACGTTTAATTGAATTCTCTTTCGATTATACTCCAAGCTAGTGCATAATAATAACCTTTAATGGAGCATAATAATGATTGAGATATCGACGAACGATATGATATCAGTTCAGCATAACTATGAGCTCTGGATTAACAATGGGGGAGTAACAATAAGTGCCAGAGAACAGCGGAGCAGAAGAGCGGTTTAGGCATATCCAATGGTTTCGTGTGATGGTTGCTCGTTTCGTTGGTATAACGTGTTTTCATACAGTACATACGTTCGATCACCAATACTCTACGTACTATTACGATCGTAAATGGCGCGGACAATGGTACGATAATTCGCAGGGTTTGTCCCAGACTATTGAGGATTTTGAATATATGAACAGCTTGAACCACTTCCTGCGCATGAGTATACATAATCCTCAAGAGAAATCGAAGGGTAAATATTTAGTTTGGGTCCACCAAACCATTCTGGATGTTGTATATTCATTTGGATAGGTTTCCTTCACTTAATTAAGGATATGGGCACCATTTTAGAGGGGAACAATTAGTATGAGAGATATAGATGCAATTACAACGCTCTCTGCGTTATCCGGACCCTAGGCTAGGACGAGGTGATGATGTCGGTCCCAAAGACATCTCATAGGTACACCAATCGTCAATGATTACACAGAAATATATTGTGGATATATTTCCCCATCAAGGGCGGAAAGTCAGTGTTTTCCCGCCCGAGGTGCACATGCTATTTTTGTTTACTTTCCGCACTTGGGAGCACTTTTCTACCCGAGGGCGGCAAGTGCGAACTTTCCGGGCAGGTGTGTTGAAAAAATCATTTTCAATCAGTCTTGAGCACATTCGCTGAAAATTCTGAAGTGACTAAACCCAAGGAGTAGTTTATTCGCCGTTACCCTTCTGTGGCAATTTAAATTATTGCATATAATATCACTCACTCGTCGTGTCAACAGCGATAGGAGGAAATTAAAATTTATTAGAATAAAATCGTACATTCTAACCTCATGACTAAATTCACGATTCTTTGGGATTTTTATAATTATTTTTTATACTTCACGTATATGCATGTAAAAGTTGAGGTTTTTCAGGTTTAACTGCGTAAAGTGAATCTTTTTTTTTATATTTTAGAAAAGAATTTCATAAACAATTAGCTCTTGATTTTATTTATTTAAAAATATTAACCACTTACACTAAATTTGGCATAAAAGTAGAGAATATTCATAAAAATGGCTGGTCAATCTACTATTATAATTGTCGATAATTAACAATAATAATTTTTATAATATTGTGAACGTGAATCTTTTACAGTTCATAAATTTGCTGATGAAGAATATTTTGTGAATATTTTTGTGCGACGGTTTTTTTAACGACATAATTTTCTGTTTCTGCTTTGCGTCTACTACTTCCTCACTAAATTTCACAATGGAATATCTTCCACAGATGAAAAAACTTTTTCCTCGTCTCTCTCCAGTCGACTGTAAGCAAAAAAGAAAGATGAGGTGACGAATAATTCAAGCCACTTCTGTCTATTCACCCATTCCCCCTTATCAAGTAGAACAAATATACTTGAGCAGCATCATGATTGTTTGTCGAATCGATTCAATATTGTCCCTGGGTGATAACCTTCCCGTATTACCATGCAATTCCTTACATCATCAAACTTGAACATTTCAATTTACTCTCGATCGTCATCCGTGTTTATTCACATTGCCTCCCCCTCTGTTCTGCTCTGTTTACTTCTGTTCTAGTTTATTACATTTTTCTCAATTACTTTGTGGCGTATCTCGTACGGAAGAAACTGGAGGTAAGCGAATTTCAGCCACTGACTTCTTTCATTAAAATGCTGGAATAAAAAGTAGAAGTGTTGACTCTAGAAAGAAATTCATCTGAAGATTTAAGATAGTTAATTCTGAGCTTTATTATGACCCACTTTTTAGTTTCTCACCTGCATTACATTTTTTTAACGATCATGTACATGATGGTAGTGGACGTTAGCTGAATAAATTAATTAGTTTAAATCGTGAATCACGGCGCATGCCTCAACTGAAAAATTCACGTGTCAGACCTACATTTATCTTAAAATATTAACAATAAATTCGAAAATCTGATCGAATAAACGAAAAAATTGTACATATATGGATTCTTAATTAAAATCCGGAATATATAGATCCTGAAATCAGTTACAGATCTTTCAACGTAGAATATCGAATCTCGAATCAAGAATATCGATTCTTGATTCAATAATATAGATTCCCGAATCAGGAATGTGAATAAATCCCATTCGGGAATGGATACTACCGATTCATGAATCCATATTCCGACTAGAGAATTCATATTTTTGAATTGAAAATATTTATATTTTTTTTTAAATCCACCATTTCCTCCTGAATCGTCCTAGGCTGCCATCACATCAGTGAACATGAATGTTAAAAATGTTTGAACTATTTGCTAGAAGCAGTTTACTCGCCCTTTTTCATTTAGGTATACGTGTCAGCTCAGCGTCGATCCATCGAAGAATGTGCAGGAAAGAGGAATTTAAATTCTAACGAGTTCGTTGAAAATTTATTTTCCCAAACATTTTTATCCGAGATTTCTTCACATACACAAGAACCTCTAGTATGCAGACTATTTGGTACATTGTGGACTTTGTTGCAGTGCAATAATCCCTCCTATTAGAAGCACCTGTTTGTGAAAACTTGCTGTCCAATGCACAAGTTTCATTCCGTTACAAGGACACGTCTTGACAATAAGAAGATGATGTTTCCCTGTTGGAAAGGTTAATCGGATTGCATTTGTTCCCGACAAATTGAATTTTATTAAAGCAGATGGAAATATTAAACGATATTGTTCGTGTTTATTTGAGTTTCATTCTCATGCTGTAATAAAAAACAAATTAACAGAAACTGGAAACCTCATGGAACAATTCATTGATTACTGATGATAAAGAAAAATTCAATTCAATTAGCTCTTCTCATCTCATCCGTTTTTACTAACTACGGATTCACTGGAGATAACCATAAATCCTATATTTTTATTTTTTTTTTTATATTCCGGCCCTTTCTGCCCTGTTCTGGCTAATTGGCCCTATCTCACCCTATGCATGCGGCTGTGGATCCTACACTGTACTGTATGGAACATAGGAGTGACATGGGAAACCACAGAAAAAACCATGTCGGTACAGACGGTTGTTCTATTAGCAACCTCCCGCTCATCGGTGCCTGTTGAAAAATTCGATTCAACGGGGAATCGAACTCACAACTTTCAGAACACTAGGCTCGCACCTAGCCACTGAGCTACCGACATCGGTATAAATCCTATATTGATTCAACGCTATGTGATTTCGTTTATTAAATTACGTATTTACAATTGTTCTGTCGATGCAAACGATTGCTGGCTAATAAATACTGAATCTCGATTGATGACATATGCTTTTTAGTTTGTTAGTGTTTTTACCGATAATTATAGATTATAATCTTTAATAATGTTTACTTACCTGTCACTGAGGTACCGATGACATTCAAACGAATTATTATTTTTAGTGAAGAAGGCAAGCATTGGAATGAGGATAGATAATTGTGAACCTTGAGATATGATAAATCTATCTCCATTTGCAGACTAATTTCTTGTCGATCGCTAAATGGTGCAATTTCTCTTGCAATGCTAATCTGATTCTAAATCTAGATTGCGTATCCATTCACGTAATTGAAATGCAAATACCCACAATCATTTGCGCGCAGGGTGGAGTATCGATTGAGTCAATAAAAATAGGAGAACAGAAGGAGCAGAAAGCTTTCCATCAACGAATGTCTCGAATAACTTACTTGTTCCATTCAAATCGTTCGAATCAACCCAAAATAAAGGAAAAATTTTCTCACAAGTACAAAAATTCGGATAGATCGAATTGTAGATAAGACTTTTATGTACTTACATACAATTTACATTTACACAGTCGCGAAATATAAAATTTTCTTCCATTCGAGTGCCTCCGCATAGCCGTTTACTTCCGTCATCCATTTATGTATGACGAATTTCTCTCGGTTAAAGTGGAAAAACAAATCCCTCATTCCCAAAACCCCTTTTCCTCCATCACTTTCCCATTCAAACTTTTTTTTTATTTCTTTTGCCTTTGAGTGGTAACTTGACGCTGATGTTCGTCATATCTTTACATATCCAGATGGAAGATGGGAAAAATAAAAGAACATCTGCAAAAGCTGAAATTGAATTCAGGTGAATTGCTTTCAGTTAAGCAAACTGTAAGCAATTATGCAAATCCATTCAAATTATCAGCTGCAATTAATTTGAAACTTCAGCCTTAACACGGGAATATAATTGTCACGGATATCCGCATGGTATTTTGTTTTTTTTTTCTTGAGAGAGAGAGAGGGGGGAGAAAGGGGTTTTACTTTAACAAGCATGGTACGAGTGTACATTACCCTCCAAGAGGAGAAATGCTGTAGAGTCGGGCTCTTCAGGGGGGTAGAGGTCCATAATAAATTGCAGAGTTGTGCATGGAATTTTATGATTAAATGTCAGGTGGATGGTGAACGCTGCTGGGGGGCTGATCGTAGTTCCCTGGAAATATAAATAAGAAGTGAGAATTACTTGCGAAAT